TGTAGGTTAAGCATGATTGTTCATAGGTAAAGTGATTAATTACCCGCCTGGCACTTAGTTAAGAGGTTTTATTCCCTCCCTAACTTCAGGGGAAAATCCCTACCTGGGGAAACAACCTTTCTCCAAGAGATGACCTTGGTTAAAACACATAGCACCAAGAAGGTGAGCAAACATATTAAAAACAGTATGCCATATACCCCAGGTCCCTTGAAACATATGCTATGCAGATGTTTCTTCCCTGCAGCGACTGTGTCAAGCACCAAGGATGGTCTGGCTTCCAGAAGCCATGGTTCTGCTGGGGAGGGGGCGGCGCGGGGAAGGCATCCCTTGGCCCTTCCTCTCCTTACAGACTCCGACTTGAGGCACGATGTGAGCAGAACAAACAGGCTCTGCGAGGGCCGGCCATTGTGCCAGGAAGGCCTACTCTTGCAGGAATTTTTGTCCATCAGGCCTCTAGTATTAACATAACTAATTACATCTGCAATGGCCTATTTCCAAATAAGGTCAGTTTCTGATGTATTGAGGGTTAGGACTTCAACCTGTCTTTCTGGAGACACAAGTTAATCCATAGGGCATGGAAAGCAGAGAGTTTTGATATACAAGTTACATTATCTGACTTACATTTTAAAAATAGGTTTTTGGCTGCAACGTTTAGGAACTGACGGGACAAAATTGGAAGCAGGGAGAGCAGGAAGGAGTTGGTGATAGATGATAATAGTTTTTGGAGTAAGGCAGCAATAAGTGAAGGTGGTGAAAAGTGATGGAATCAGACATATTTCAGAGGTAGAGCTGACGGGATTTACTAATAGTTTCAATCTCTGTGTGAAAACAGCAGTATCGATAATTCCAACGTTTGGGCCTCAGCAAGTAGAAACGTGGAATTATTAACTGAGGAGAAAATTAAAAATGAGAGTCTAGGAGGATAACATTTGGATTTTTAGTGAATACATTAACTTTGAGAAATGCTTGAAGCAGGCTGCCTGATAAGTCTTGGTTTATACCTATTGCCTATGTTATGTATAATGAAACACATGGCTGGTATTTCATATTTTAGCAAGATATGCATATCAGTAGTGTATTAGTTTACTGTGGCTACCATAAAAAAAAATTACTCAAAACGGGGTGACTTAAACCAACACATTTATTCTCTCAAAGTTCTGAGGGCAGGATTGATTCCTTTTAGAAATTGTGAGGGATAATTTCTCCCACACCTCTCTTCTAGCCTTGGGGGGCTGCCAGCTGTCCTTGATATTTCCTGGTTTGTAGATGCTTCGTTTCAATCTCTGCTTCCATCTTCACATTGCCTTCTTCTCTGTGTCCTTTCCCCTTCTCCTGTCTTATAAGAACACTTGCTAGATTTAGGCTCTATCCAAACCGGAATGGTCTCATCCTGAGATACTTAATTACATATACAAAAACCTCTTTGTAGACAGGCTGGTGTGGTCCAATGGTTGAGCATCGATTTTTGAACAAGATGGTTTGGTTTGATTCCTGGTCAGGGCACATACCTGGGTTGCAGGCTTAATTCCTGGTAGGGGGCATGCAGGAGGCAGCTGATCAATGATCCCCCCTCATCATTGATCCTCATCATTGATGTTTCTATCTCTCTCCCCCTTCCTCTCTGAAATTATATATATATATATATATAATTTTTAAAACTTCTTTGTAGATAAATTTACACTCAGGTCATAACAGTGAGGTCCTAGGTTCCAAAGTTGAGAAATAAATCTGTTTAAACCACACATTCACAGTATTTTGTTATGATAGCCAAGCCAACTATCATAACACAAGTGGGCCAATGTGATTCTATTTACTACATAAAAATTAGAAGGCCAACATCTAGCTCAAACATTTATAGCTACTTTAAAAGATTTCGTTCAGAGATAATGATTTCATGCATGCAACTGCCAAAGGTGTGTTTAATCTTGTTCTGAAATTTGACTTTTTATTTTGATCGTTATTTTTATTTTGATGGAATCTCTCTTCTAAAATTTTTCTTATTTTGGATTTTGACGTTTCTTGTGCAAATATAGAAAAGTGAAGTAATAGCTCCATTAACAGAAGTACTTCACAGATGTGCTAGTATGATATCAGTTTTATATCAAAAGTTGTTCAATGCTTCAAGTAGAAAAAACAATTCCAATAATGGCCTAGTTTTTAAATTCCAACTCATGAAATGTAAAATTGCTGAACACTCATAGTGATCAGGTGAAATATCTTACAAAATTGTGATTATTTATTACAAATTCAACTAAATGGGCCAACATTTAAAATAAAATGTTAGGAAAACAAACTTTGTTGCAGAAAAGTTAGGAAAAAATTTAAGTTAGTAAATTTTTAAAAAAATGGAATAAGAGATATATATACAATGCTATATTTTACATAATAACAATGACTGCAATTCAATTTTTTGGTGTCAAAGCTGGTGTCCAATAGAAAATATTGTCAAGTATAGCAATGCGCTCTATCCTTGCTGCCCATGTATACATACTTAAGGCTTTGAATAATTATTTGGTAGTTGAACATACTTACTTAATAAATGAATATTTAATAGTGTTAAATGATTTTTTAAAGGTATGCTCAAAATTTTGTATTTCATTCCTTTGTGTTTATCACCACTTCTACTTTTAAAGTTAGTGTTTATATATCTAATTGAACATTTCAAGAAAGCTGTAGGATGGTGTGTGGGATTTCAGGATAGAGGTCTAGGCCAGATATGCAATTTGTAAGTCAACAGTATACAGATGGAAATTTAAGCCATAAATAGGAATTTTTTCTCTCTGAAAGGATAAATGAATCAGAAGTCTTCATATATAAAAATCATAATCCCCATTTAAATGTGTATTAAAAGCTATTCTTCAATCTTAAGGCCCTAACACTTACTGCTTTTGGGACTGTTGCATATTATAAAGTCTTGGTTTTCCATAGTAGAATATTGCCTAACCTAGTCCAGATTAACATGCTATGGACACAGACATAAATATCTGCTATAATAAAATGATGTGACTCACTCATTTCGTATTTTTCAATGCTTAATGGGAATTAGCATGAGGAGTAGCAATTGCCTATATTCCATTTGTGATTGCATTATTTCGTGCAATATTAGGAAGGCTACTAATAGTATTAACAACATTTCTGTATTTGATTGATTGTGAGAAAAAGTGCTACTTGGAAGAGAGGTTTATACCTACATTTCCAGCTGCTTAGTTAAAACAACAAAATGAAACACCTCTATCTGGGGGTCCTGCCAGAAACTCAAAATCAAATGCACAAAAGTCAAAAGGCTAAGCACAGTTTCCTACCCGTACTAATTTCCCTCCAACTATTTCTCCGTCCTCTATTTTCTGTTTCTGCTTTGGAATCACTTGTTTTTAGTTTACCTCGCCTTATTATATTGGCATTACTTCACATGCTCTTTGTTTATTTGTTTTGGTCTAAATGATTCCAGATAACCCACCCTTTCTGACTGACCCTTGGCAACAGCTCTCACATCCAAGTCCATTCTCCACTCTTTCTGTTCTTAGCATATTCTGACATCCATTCCATTCACTGACTGATGGAAATACATTGCTTACTAGCCTTTCTGCTTCTGGTCTCTCCTATCTCTAAACTGTCTCACTTAATGCTACCAATTTCTAAAGATCCCTAAGCATGTCACTTCTCTGCCCAATATTTAATATCTTCCCCATAGTTCTTGAAGACTTAGATTTTAGATTCCTTAAACTTGCAATTGAATCTCATCTAACTTTTCTAATCTCATCTTTCACTTTTCTATTTTAGAGTGTGGTCCAGCCAAATTGAACTACTCTTGCCCACATATAATATCCCCCCCTTTTTTTTCTTCCCTCCTCAATTCCCTTCCCAAAGAAATTGCTTCCTCTGCACAATTTTCCTTCTCTCACTTCTGCATATCAAAACTTGTACTTCAAATGTCACCTGGCCGCAGCACTCATATATGAAATCAAGCTGCTGAACTATTTTTTGTACTTAGTTCTAACTTTCTATAAAAGAGATATAGGATGTCCCCCAAAATGTATACACACTGTACCAGCTGATAACTCCCTTAATTTTGAAAATGAACTCTATATTAATAAACACTGACTTCATAATCATTCGAAGTGTGTATACATTTTTTGGGGGGGACACCTGTATGTACATGGTTATATGAAAATCAAATCAATATTCTATTTTCCTTAGCCATTTTCCTTATATTTATTTATTTTGGTGGTCACTTCATAACTCCAAAGAACGTGTTGTAACTTTACATCAGTTTTTTTAATAATCTCTATTAAAATGGAAAATTAAAGACTCTGATGGTTTAGTTTACAAAATCTACATGTCAGTTAAACCTTTCTTGATTGTCACTTGCCTTTCTGCCCCCCCAGAGAGTGACTTTCCAGGCTATTGACCAGCTGTTGAACAATCAATTTCAGATCAACTTCAATTTGGCCGGGCCCACCTTTGCTAAGGCCTCTACTTCTTTTCCTGCCAACACTTTATTCCAAGTTTGGAGAGAGACCTTTCCCTAGA